CCAAAACATTGGCAGTGGTATGAAGAGAAACAGGACCCGTGTCACCATTTTAACTTCAGTTATCAGTTGGTTCTGTGAAGGGAAACACAAAGCAAAAGGCAATAATGGTTAGTAGGAAAGAAAGGTCTACAAGCAACAGTCTCAGACAATATAATTTTGCTGCATGGAGGTGAACTCTGTGAAGGAAAATATGTGTGTTTTCCCCAAAAACAACTTTTGTGCTTTAAGTACACCAGTTCTGCAGATGATGTGTTCAGGTGCTTCTCAATCCGTTCAGCTCCGTTGTGGAACATTTTAGATGCAATGACTTTGGAGGCTGATGCAAAGAGAGCTATGCCTGTGCATATTTGGGGTGACCCAGTTACTGCAGAATAATCACACATGGCAGATCTGGTTGTGGATACTTGAGCAAATGTACTGTAAACAATGTGAGCTAATATAGCAAGCACAAGGGAGGAACAAAGAAAATGGGTAGGCAGGTATGCACTGCACCAAATCAATGTATCTCAGTATCAGGGAACACACTACTTTTTCAGGTATACACTAAAATCGTAAGGTGTGATTGTGACAAATACATGCCTATAATAGAGGCGCACTAACCACAGAGCTGGAATTGGATGCACCTTCCTGAACAGTGTGCTCATGGTGGCAAACTTGGGTTGGTTCAGATCTAAACTCCTCTGTTCTTGGGTGCTTTGTTTTGGGAGATGGACAGTTTACAAACAAATTTCCCCTATGGCTGATGTTGGGAGCTTCAGTTTCCCTGTATTCACACTATGATTCCCAGGCAGTGTTGCAGAAATGTGTATTCATTCCATAAAGGAAGCACACATGCACAAAAAACTGAAGTCAATTTAGCGGGGGGATGTATTTTTTGTACATTCTCTGAAGACACTTACTATGGTCTTCAGGAGACACTTGCAGTGATTTTGAATGAAGATGAGGAGAGTTGATCCATTTCTACATTCTAGCTGTTGCAATCTGATAGCTCACATCTTATTGGAAGAATATATATTAAAATACTTCAGATCCAAATATTGACTTACTGAGTATTTTTCTGAGGCCCAGTCCAGCCAGTGCTCCCTTTTAGGAATGTGCCGGGATCGATTTTTGATCCGGTTTGTAACAGCAAACTAGAGGGAAATAAAAGCAATTGAGAGATGTGTAGGTTATGGAGTTTCTCCTACATTTGTTTAACTTAGTCCACTGCGTAAAGCCCATTACAATTAATTATATCATTTCTTACACAATCTTATATTGTTTTCTTGACCCTACTCTCATGCCATATATCATGAGTGGAGAACCTGTGGCCCTTCAGATACCATTGGACACTAATTCCCATCAACCCCAGCAAGCATATTCTGTGGTCAGGGACGATGGGAATTGCAATCTAGCAACATCTGGAAGGCCACGGGTTCCTCATCCCTGTCTTAAATCAGGTTTCATCCCTTTCATTGATTCACTGGATGACTTCCACAAGACACAAAGGATATTATTTTCTGGGCAATGGCATTTGTTGTATGAATAAGGCCTTGGGTTCCATACCCCTTAGTCCAGCAAAGCAAATCATGGCATGCGTGGCATGCTTGATATTGTTCCTGCAATTCTTGGTCTTTTTCTTTTCACCAGAAAAAAAGTGCCAACATTTAACAGCTGCTGGTCAGCTCCATATATGCAACTCTGTAGTTGACCACATATCTGTAGTATCCTTTATTTTGGAAATGTTGATCTGGAAAATCTAGATGATAGAGAAAAGTTTCCTGTCCTTGAAAAGTAAGACCAAGTTTCATTCACCCCAACATTCTGTCAGTGGCCCACTGCCAACTCCAAGTGGGCCCCATCCCTGAGAGAGTCCACCTCCTCCTTGCTGCTGTTGCCATTGGCCATTATTTTCCCTCTCCTTCAGGACCCAGAAGGAGAATTCAAGGCAAGTGAAGGATGCTGTTTTTTCCTCCTCCCTCTGCTCACTCCTTGCATGTCCAGAGGAGGCAGATGAACAATGACAGCAGAGATAAGGTACAGCAGTGTCAGGAGGCCCAGAAGGTCAACAGTAGATCCCTTAAAGGGGCCCTGAGAGCCCTACTCACTGCAGTGGCAACCCTATGTTAATGAGGAGGGTGTGATGATTATTGAGGCAGCCATACCCAGCACTTCATCATCAATTGTATTTCCTTTGGACAGAGAATTTCCATTTATCTGTAATGGCTAATAGCCACTGAGCAACGCATTCCCTATCGAGCTATTTAATCCATTTTAAGAAACCACCTTAAGGCTAGTGGCCATCACCACACCTTCTGGTGATGAATTTCATATGATAATTATGTACTAATGATTGCATGAGAAGCAACTTATTTTGACTGCAGTTAATACAGTGCCATTCAATTTCATTGGTTGACCCTGAATTCTAATATGCCAGGAAGGGGAGAATGAGAAAGTGATGTAATATAACTCCTCATACCATTCACAATTCTTCACATGTCCATTGCATCACACCCCTGAGTTATATTTTTCCTAATCTTTTTTTTTTTAAGCCTCAAATGCCTTGTTGTGCAAATTGTCACAGTGACCTCAGTGCTGGAGTAAAGTAATACTAATCAGGATGATGGATGGTAGGGAGCCATTCTGGATGTTGAGCAGCGGAGCCAATGAACGTTTTTGGCCCCAAGCCCTCTGGTTTAGATCCAACATGCAGTTATGCTTTGAGAGAAGTTGGACAAAATATTCCCATGTATTACCTTTGAGTCTGAATGGCTACTTGGCTAAAGTCCCTTCTCCAATCTGAAGCTGGCTCTTGGAATCATTGACATAAAAGCCCTACGCAGATGACTGAAAGAGTGGAGATAATCAGTATATCCAGCAGGGAGCAGGATAATGTTGGCTGCTTCATTGTGTTGATCAGGTATTCTGCCCAGGGCCTGTTTGTGTGCAACATAGAGGCCAGAAGCAGCAGCAGTGGGCATTATTCCACTGCAGTGGAATTTATTTCTAAGCAAATCTATATAGGATTGCACTGTAAAACTCATATGGCTAATCAATTAACATCAGGGTCAGACATGTGGAAAATATGATTTTACAATCTCAGAGTCATGCATCAAAAGGATATCTAAGAAACACACTTACCCCAATGCACTTGCAAATTTCGAGTAAGATATTTCCTTCTGGTGGAGTCTTTTTGTACATTCCATTTCCAGCAATAAACACAACTATAAAAGAAGTGTAGGCAAATGTAGGCAAAAGGAGTTACTGTACATCCAATGTAGCTAGGCATCTGCATGAAGAAACTTTCATAGTTGGTCCTGGGGGTACAGGGACCTTTCAGAATAGCACTGAAAGTGGGACAGAGGGATTCAGTAGGCAGGATGCACAGTCAAAAATCAGGTGTCTCACCTTGACCAAGCAGAAACACTTTCCACTGCTTTAGAAATCTTACGAAGAGTGTGTCCACTGAGACAAATAATGCATTTTTTAAAAAAAATCTAAGTGTCCCCAAACATTGATTGTTATAAACTTTATTTAGGTGTTCAAATAATGCATGGGGGGGATAAAGTGTGGAGGAGGTGCTGGCACATACAGCTGTACATCCACTCCATAATTCAATACAAGAACTTACAAAAAGCCCTGCAGGGCCAGGCCAAAGGCCCATCTAGTCCAGCATCCTGTTTTAAAAGGTAAAGGTAACCCTGCCCGTATGGGCCAGTCTTGACAGACTCTAGGGTTGTGCGCTCATCTCACTCTAGAGGCCGGGAGCCAGCGCTGTGCGCAGACACTTCCGGGTCACGTGGCCAGCGTGACAAGCTGCATCTGGCGAGCCAGCGCAGCACACGGAAACGCCGTTTACCTTCCCGCCAGTAAGCGGTCCCTATTTATCTACTTGCACCCGGGGGTGCTTTCGAACTGCTAGGTTGGCAGGCGCTGGGACCGAGCGGTGGGAGCGCACCCCGCCACGGGGATTCGAACCGCCGACCTTTTGATCGGCAAGTCCTAGGCGCTGAGGCTTTTACCCACAGCGCCACCTGGGTCCCGGTGCATCCTGTTTTGGGAGTGGCTAAATTGGAAGCCCAGCAGAAGCCCTTGAGAAGAATCTGAGCACAACAGCAAGATTCCCATCAATTGGTATTCAGAGGCATGCTGCCTCTGACAGATGAGGGAGAATGTATCCATTATGGCAAGTTGCCATTGACAGCTTTATCCTCCATGAATTCATCTGCTGCTCTTTCAAATGCATCCAAGTTGGTGGCCGTTAATACATCTAGTGGGAGCAAATTCCATAGTTTGACTATGTGCTGTGTGAAGAACCATTTTCTTTTGTCTGTCCTGAAACTTCCAACACTTAGCTTTGTCCCCGCTATCTACGTTGTGCTTAATTGCTCATGGAGAAGAGAATGATGTGGGATGGAGGGAGGCATCTGTGGTGCGATTGTGCATTCTGGACAAAGTAGTTTTTAAATTTTGCCTAACCCGACACAAGCAAGAGCAGATTTGAAAATCATCATGCATAAAAAATACTCAAAATCTGATGTTGTTGTTTTTTCATTTGTCACTGTAACAAATGAAATACTGGACTAAATGGTCCAGTCATCTGATTTGTTCTGCCATTTAATTTTGTTGCTATCACAGGCATGTGTTGGCATGCACACAGTATACATGTAAAGAAACACACAAGTAAAATATAAGCATGCTTTGAATTGGCATTTAATCTGGGCTTCTCTCTCTGTGTGTGTGTGTGTGTGTGTGTGTGCGCGCGTGCGTACCTTGAGCCATAATTATTAATAACCCAATTTGGGGGGGGGGAACTATCTAAAATCTTAGGTTTGGTCCTTTCCAATATATGCTCTGAAACATAGTTGTGCCCACCTCATATCACTGAAGGATCTGCAGCCATATCAACAAATAGCAGGAACAGCAACAAATCCATTTTGGGTAGACTTTTTTAAAAAAAATAAGTGAAAGAAAAGAACTGCAGCATTTGCTGGCGTATTTTCCCTTGACTGCTTCTGTGATGTACTTTTCAAACAGTAATGTCAGATGATATCCAACAAGCACAGTACACGAATACAAAGGAACCATGTGGTAAACAGGAGGCTTCTAGGATTCTGCTGGCATGTTGTTGGGTTTTGTTTGGTGTGTGTGAAGGGGGACCATTCCTGCAACATCAGCTGTTGTCTAGTGGCATCTCCTAGCCTTTTCTAGGAAGACTTCTATTCCAGAGGGCATTAAAGCAGCTAAAGAAGCTGGGGTGGGTGGTGGGTGGTGGTAGGAAACACTGCCTTTTTCATTGCACAGATTGTTCTCTCCAAAGCAAAAGACAGCATTTCTCCGGGCCTCTGGGTGGACACTGATTCTCTGCTGTGAGTGACTGTACATCCAGTTGCTCTGCTTCAAGCAATACAGTATTGCAAAGGGGTAGATAAGATGTTAGCACTGCCGCTGCTCTGTTACAGCACCACCTACTTACTGAGAGCGATGACCATGAGAGCAGCAGGAACACCAAAAGCCAAGGCATAGCAGTCTCCACCAAAGCACTCCACATCACCTAAGAGAAGCAGAAACAGAACTCCCTTTCACCATGTTTCAATTCGGATTCCCACCCTTCCTTCCAATGCCATAATAAAAAGAGATGCCCATTACCACCTTTTTCTTTGCTTGAAGTCAACACGGGACAAGTTTTCCTTAGTATACCTGCATGCACTGAATCAGTTTTGTGGGTGGCTCAGAATGTATGCAGATCAGGAAATAGCGTGCCTAGGGCTCTGCTCACTTTCTAAGACTTCTCAGGATGTGGCATTCTGAGGGCAATTCCTGTGACTGTAATTTGTTCTAACTATTTTTAATGTTGAATTTTAAAATTGTCGTAACCTGCCCCAGAGCCAGCTGGTGAAGGGTGGGTAATGAATAATATTTAAAAAATTGTATGAACTGGTGCTTAAAGTCAAGGGCACCTGTAGGCTCACATGTGCCCACAGAACCTTTCCCTGGTGCCTGCAGGGTCCCCTACATTCACTGAAATTAAACTCAAAAGAAGCATTTTATTGTAGCCTATAGGCTAGGTTATGGTATGTGCTAGGTTGTGGTGTGTGTGTGTGTGTGTGTGTGTGTGTGTGATGCAAATGACTTTAAAAAGTGTGTCTAATGCACATTTAAAACACATAACTTTCTCTGCAATAATCCTGGGAAATTTGATTTGTTAAGGGTGCTGAGAATTGCTGTATCCGGGAAGGGCCAAGTTTCTTGGTTTGGGGGGTGGAATTGTGTGCTTCAAATGTGCATTAGATGTACTTTAAATGTGTGCCCATTTATCCAGTCTGCAAACTTGCCCCAAAATGGTTGGTGATAACTCCTGCCTTAATTAATCTTCCATACACAAAACATTAACATTGCACTGACTCCAAAAGCCACAACATTACTTTGTTGATAAGAACACTTCCCAACAGTGTGTGCCTGGATATATGCAGTAGGTGTGAAAGTCATGGGGAGGGAACAGTTACCCAGGCATCCAGACTGGCGTCCCAGGCTCACCTGGCTGGGTACTCAAGCCAGAACACAGTGAAAGTCAGAGAGAAACCTCTAGACTCATGACTGTGGCCCAACTTCTGAATCAAGGGTTACATACACCCAGCTGCAAATAGTCCAGGAGACGTGGTTGCAAAGATGCTGTTTGTTCTGCACCAGAACAAATGAAAACAAAACAATTTCACAGCTGAACACCAACAGGATAAAAAAAAAATACTGGTCATTATTAATGTGTGACATATTTATCTAAAGTTTATAATGCTGCCTTTGTGTTTGTGCCTGAAGTTGGGTTATTTGCAGTATTTTGCTTTCAGAGGCATAAGCAGAAATTTGATAGTCCAGAACTGCCCATGTTATTTCTGATTTTCACCAGAGGACGTTTTTTAGCTGTTTGGGACATTGGCTTGCTCAATATAGTAGCCACAGAGACCACACAAAACAGCCAAGTTTTAAAGGGAATGTGCTTCTTTTTTCTCTTAAGAACCAAACATCCTCATTCCACTCTGCACCATGCCACAATATTTATTTGTCCTGGCATTGACATATGTTGATATAAGATGCAGAGCCTAAAAGAAGCTTCCTTTTCAATCAGCTACAAAATGTTTTGAGCAGCAGCTACTTACCAGTGTTGACACAGGTAAATAGCTTTGCTTTCTGCCTTGTACTTTAGATTAAATATAGAAGGCAAGCAAGTTCCCTATCCAACCCCAGACATTAAATAGGTTTCAAAAACAACACACAAGACACACAAGAGCGTCTCCACCCCCATCGTTCTGCCCGGAAACTGAGGTCCAGCTCCGAGGGCCTACTGGCGGTTCCCTCACTGCGAGAGGTCAAGTTACAGGGAACCAGGCAGAGGGCCTTCTCGGTAGTGGCGCCCGTCCTGTGGAACGCCCTCCCATCAGATGTCAAAGCGATAAACAACTACCTGACATTCAGAAGACATCTGAAGGCAGCCCTGTTCAGGGAAGTTTTTAATATGTGACATTTTAGTGTATTTTTTATCTTTGTTGGAAGCCGCCCAGAGTGGTTGGGGAAACCCAGCCAGATGGGCGGGGTACAAATAATAAATTATTATTATTATTATTATAAACTGTCCTCTCTTTGCTCCTGTGGATGTGATTGTTTTTCTCCTGAGAGCTGCTCTGTTAAAATCTTGTTCTGTCTGCTTTCACTCCTTGCATCTCAGGACATGGGCTGAAAACACATAACACAACAATTTTGCTGAAGCTCAACAGGTCTATCTGGTCAGTGTATGGGTGGGAGAATGTCTGGGGAACTTTAGGGCAGTGTTTTCTGGCATAGGTCTCACTGGATGATTGTGGATAGGTGGCCATGCAAAGTCAATGGCAATGTGATTTACAAAGGTCTGCAAACTTGTGATCCTGCTAGATTATGCTCACCAGGTGATGTCATGCTGCGTTCCACCAGCTCTCAAGAAAGAACATATACAGTATGGGGAAGGATCATAATGAAGTTGTAGAGCATCTGTTTTTCAGGAAGAATGTCCCAGTTTCAATCCCTGGCATTTCCAGGTAGGGCAAGGAATATCCCAGTCTCGTATCCTGGAGACCTGTTGGCGGCCAGTGTAGACAGTTCTGATCTACACGGTCTGACATGCTGTATGGCAGATTTCTATATTCTTTAACACAGAGCAAGCTGCATAATTCTGCCTCTACTGCTGTTCTGAAGATCCCAGAATGATTGTGGCCTGGCCCTAACAACATCTCAACTGTTCTCAATACGTTGCTATCATACTCCTGCTAGCAAACAGAGCAGTCAAAACACGAAGCAAGAAATGGGAAGCATTTAGCCTAACTTGGACATGTTAAATATCAGGGTGGTAGTGATGTTTTGATTGAAATGGGCTTTTGTAACTTGGTGGTCAGGAGAGAACTTTACTCAGTTTGGCACATTAACTAAAAACCTTTGCAAATCTATAATGCTCCTGAAAGTTGCTGTGGTGTAGAAGAGAAATTGGTATTATGTTATTATCCTAAATTATTTCTCTGGGCACACTCCAGAATGTATAATTCTGGGCAGCTTCGCCGGGCAGCTTCCTCCTGGTGCAGAGCGGAGCTCGCTGTCCACTGCTGCGGTGGCGGCAGCTTTGGCAGCCATACCCGGCGTATAAGACAACCCCCGACTTTTTAACCTCTTTTCCGGGGTTAAAAGGTCATTTTATATGCCGGAATCTACAGTATTTTTCATGTCTTCTCTATGGGAGAAGATGAGACCAGGAGGGGAAACTCCTTTATCTGACTCCCTGTAAGATATTTCCTCCTTCCTACATTGTTCCCTTCAGTGATACAATATAGGACAAGCAAAAGAGCATGGCATCTCTGGCAGGCTGGCATTATCTTGTAATGACTACCATTTTGTTTGTCCCAGATCTGTTGGTCAAAGCCCAATCTGTGCTTTTAACTCAATGGGATTTAGAGTACTGAACTGAGGGCAGCAGCCCTTCTGTTTGGGAATGGAATGAAGATCACGAGCAGAAGCTGGGGAAATGCAAGTTGGATCCTGCTGCAACGTATAGTGTTGCTAGGTTCTGCATAGCAGCACTCCAGAGTCATAGGAGGATGACCTGTGCCATAAATCAGTTATAATGAACATATCAGAGTGCTCTTTAAGTAATAGTTAAAGCCTTTATATATCAACCTTTTGTGCTCTTCCACACCCGTCCAATGTTCCTGACCCTTCTTTTGGATTCTTTTAGTTTCTTTAAAATTCTTATAGACTTTTATATTCACCTTGTGCTTTAATACCTTTTAGCTTTCTAAAGCGCTTTTTCAACTGAGCTTACTCAATCACATCTTCTCTTCAATGTTTATATCACAGAAAGTCTTATGGTACTTAAAACCATAAGGCGGCGCGAAACAGCAATGGCTGTCCTCCTCAGTTGCTGAAGAGGGGCTCCGCGGGAAAGGGTCGTGCGCTGCGGCACAGCAACGACCCATCCAGAAAAACCACAGGTAGAGTGAGCCCGTGGCCGTGGGACTCGGCGGGCACCAGGAGCGACCCCAGAAACGTTGAAGGGACCCCGTAAGGAGCCCCGGAACGTGGAAGGGGGAGCGGTGCTGTGAGTTCATCGCTCTTTCCGCGGAAGTGAAGCCGCGAGGCTGCTGCTGATGAGCGCTGTCCTTTCTTTCTGAAAACATCAGGCTCCAAACTTCATACTCGTGAGTAAGGACTTTAAGAATTTGGTTGGGACTAAAACATTAAATTTCGGCTGAAAGCGGGAGACGAGAAACAGGAAGTCCGTCTCCCGACACTGCTTTTAAATCAAAGCAAAGTTTTTGCCAAGCGTGAAGCGCTTTGAAAGGGATTTTAAAAAGAGACTCTTTTCTCCGTGCAAATTGTCAAAGCTTGAATTGGCAAGCTAGAAGAATAGAGGAATTGACTGGATTTGAATTGATTTGAACTGAAATCCCCCCTCTTTTGAGTGGATTATAAAAGTTTAAATACCGGATCTCTGGGCTGCCGGGTTACTAAAGAACTGTCAAACTGCGGAAACTGTATCAGATGGTGTAGTTACTTTGAGCGCTGGAGGATACAAGTAAGAAACTGTTACTTGCATCTTTTTTGAAACTTTGTTTTATTTGGGGGAAATCTGCAGCTTTAAAGGGATAAAGAAGGTTTCCCTGCGGTTTGTTTCTTCTCTTCTCCCCTTTGGATTGCTGGATTAATGGCGGAAAATTTTTTCTCCTTTTTTGAGTTACAGGGAAGCTCCCCCTAGTGGATTTGGGATTAATAAATCTCTGGGAACTGCCTTTTTGTTTGGATTATCCTTTTGGTGGATGTTTACACTTTGGACTGTTTTTCCCATGGGATCTACAATTTGACCTTGACACATAGACAGCTGTGGAATGAGTGGCACAGGGAGAGCAAGAGCTGCCAAATCGAAAGCAAAACAAACTGTACAACAATTGCTACAGACAACATTAACTGTTCAGCCACGCAGATCATCTGTTCCCACTGTTCCCACTGTTCCTGCTGTTTTGACATTGCAAGAAAGAGAAACTGCTCAGACAGCTCAAGAGCCAAC